AGAGTGTATATTTGTCCAACAAATACCGTAGAATGATAACTAAATCACAATAATGAAATCTGCAATAATGTATACAGAATTTCATGTGCAGAGATGACTGACCTGACTGAAATGAAAGCTCTTCACTGACCAGTGAAACAGCACTGCCAATACATCACATAAAATACTTAAAGAAGCCGTTTAATTAGCAAAGACAAAAAAAAAAAAAAAAAGAAAAATGGTAATTTACCAGAAATACTTTTATAGCAGATGCTGAAGGAAAAAGGTGGAAAATTAACATTTGAGGTGCCAAATATAAAATCAATCAATTCCTCAATAAACTTCTCACACATGAATAGCCAGTAGCAATTTAGGTATACCGTGCAAGACTTCTGAGGGCCTCCCTCTATGTGGACCCATGACAGGCAGACAGACAGTGCTGGGAAGTACAGTCAATGGATCAGGAACAGCTTTAACCAATTTAGAAACATCTAAGCCAAGTGGTAACAGCATGCTGAGTGCTTCTTACAAACACGCAATCCAACAAAACCCAGTGCCAAAATTCCATGGCACTCAAGAACAGCACAAAGCAAGCTTCAGAATACTGGCTATATTCCCCACCGGGGTTCTCTTAGCATATCATACTAAACAGCAGTAGTTTCAGGAGCAGCTCTGGCATTACTCACAGTGGCTGGCACGCTATACATGGTGTTCTCTGTGGGCATGTCAGAAAGCCATGTATGTTCAGGGGCATATAGCAAGATGATAACCTGAGCTCAACAGGATGAGGGCAGGGGTCCTACACATCCATCTTTAATGGTTGCTCCAAAAGAGTAACCTCTTTTGTTTTTCAGTTGCTAATTCTCTCTAACGTATTCCTCTACTTCATTTAGTTTTAATCTGGCTGGTGAAAGGGTAAGGGCAAAGCACTTTGGAAACACTTTGCTGGAGATGGGGGATGCATATCCCAGGCTGACAATGACTGTACAAAACCTCTCAAAGGACTCAAATTCTTGAGGGGAGTCACTTAAGGAATCAAAGGGGGAATTTCTCTGTATGTATAGCAGGTTTTGTAGGAAGATGTCCAAATCAGGAAGCATTATTGAGCTAAGGAAAATAAAAAAGGCAGTCCAGAACCACTGGCAGGGGATCTTCCAGTATTTTTGGAAGCTTAAAAGAATATATTCCAACTCTAAATTAACCTGGGACACACATGAATCTATAAAGTAAAATGAATTGAGAGTATTGTAAAAAATAGATTGTAATGTATAGTCATTATGTGCTGTGAAATGAGGTATTTAATATTTTATGTTAAATAAGTTAGTAAAAAAATATTGTAGAACTAGGAAAATTGCAGAAGATTGGTTGATTTTTTTTTTTTCAATTGGAAGGTTTTTTCTTCTTTCTGTGATTTTTCTTTTTGAAAGGAAGGAGTGTTACAAATTCTTCTTTACTATTTTAAAATATTCTTCAGTTTTTGTTAAAGGCTACTGTTCTGAGAGATTTAAAGCAATTTTGGAAACACTGAGATAATTGTGAATTTTCCCAGCTGTACATTTCCGTCAGTTATGATATTTTCTCCTTAAAGACAAAACATGTGCAGGTATACTAACAAAGTTATTCCTTTGCCCTCATTTTTGGTAAAGATAAAATAAAATTACATTAGAAGCATATAAAAGCTTAAAGATCCCCCCCTTCTGGGGAAATAGCAAGAGATTGAAGTTAATGGGTTTTGACCAAGAACATGTGCCAATTTTCAACAACCTTTTTTTTATGACAGCATAGGAAGCTCCTGAATGAGGAAATTTATAGTGGAAATGTTGGCAGGAATATTTACCTAATGCTGTTTAAATGGTACCACTATGTTAAGAAATGCACTGGATACCAGACAGCTTTCTGTGGAAAATGGTAAACACACAACGTCTCTGTAGGGTATCTCAGCAGAGCCATTTTTATTATCCAGTATAGTGGGTCTTTTTACTGTGATGTTGTTTTTACACATGATATATGAGAACAAAGATGAAAATAACATTTACTAGCTGTTAAAATTTTTATTTCAACGTGTTCTATAGTGTGTATTTACACACTGCTTAATTATTTTTTATTGCAATAACTGTGTCTCTCTGTACAGCCTTTTTTTATTTTTTTATTTTTATTTTCTCCCTTCTTTGAGAGTACAGATGTGATGCAAACTCTCAGAATTATACTGTTGATCACTTGCATGCTGAGCTGCATGCTGGTAATAGGAAGTGCCCTGAATTAAATCTTAGGAATTTAGACTGGTTCCCAGTGAAGAAGTAAACAAACAGCATGAAAATGACAGAGCAGGAGTTACACCTTCCCACCCTCTCCTTTCCAAACCAGACAGCATTTTAAGCCAGAATTTTGCACCTAGTCTGTTTGGTGTTAATTTGCACTGTTTTGCTATGTGAGCAATAGTTAATATGTTTTCCAGAATAGCAGCAGAAATTAAGTAGATATGTTATTTATAACCACAAATGTTAATATAATATCTAATATAAGTAGTATGTGCCTAGTTTTGTTTTCTGAATGAAAAGTCTCCACTTCTGATGAACTATAGACGATCTTTGTTTTTGTTATTTAATGTGCATATGCTTTCCTGCAGGGTGAGATCCAGCAGCTGTTGATTATAGCTGACCCCAGAGCTGCATATGACTACTGTGAGCATTATAGCCCAGACTGTGATTCCCCAGTGCCCAATGCTGCTCAGGCTCAAGATCCTCAAGTTGATGAGGTGAGTAATCAGTCATGTATTACTAGATTTATTGCACGTTAGTGGTTGTGCTGGATACAAGTTACCCAAGGAGCATTGACAGCTAAATGGCATGCATTGTTCTAGATGTGAGGGAAGAAGGTTGCAGGAGTACATTCATTTTTGCTATCCACTTATTTATGTCAAGCATGTGAAGGAACCTATCACACCAGTATTTGAATAACCAGCATGTTCAAAAAAGTTAAACTGTAATTCCTTAAAGAATGATAGCAATATGTGTTTGTTTAGTTGTACATATTTGTTCTTCCTATGTATGTTTATGATTTCACTGATGCTGAGTGCCATCAAATGCCACATTTGAAAGATACAGGAGCCATGAGTATTCTGCAGTTGTAAACAACTTCTGCTAGAGATGCCATGTACTCTAATGAGCTGTGTCCAGTGTACAAATGCATGTACACGCAAAATTATTTCAGCCAGCTCCACTCGTAGCAGGTAAATAACAACAGGACCAAAACGGAGTTGGAATTTTTCCCAGAAACACAAAAAATGTTTACAGAAACCATTTGTCACTGTAGACAGTTCTCACAGCCATGAACTGAGTAATTCATTGAGGGCAAGATAGATCCTCTGATTAGACCTCTGAGGGTCAGCGGTTGTATATATTGTTCTATACATTCTAAATACTTGCATCAAACACTGTAAAGTGGAAAGCTTTTGCAAAATGTAACTAGTCTTAATTGAACTTGGCTCTGGACAGTTAATATGCACTCAACTGTGTGTAATCTGACTGGTTATTGTTACTGATTGCACAAGAGATCACCATTAAAAACTTGCTGAATTGTTCTCAGATGCCTGCTTTGAGCCAATTTTGAGACAGAATTTTTCCTAAATATATGATAATTTTATTTTTTGTTACTATTTATTTTATCTGACTGAAAATTATGTCATCAAGTGACTAAGGTCCATAGGGCCCAGAATTTAGTTCAAACGCACTCCCACATCCATTGCATCAGTGGTATAGTTCAAGATGTGTCAAGTCAATTATACATAGGCAGATGCCTTTACGCTACATTACAGTGTATGAGGTCTGGTCTCTTCATGAGGATCCTGTAGGACCTTTTGTCTGTGCCTGGCTACCTGGATCTCCATGTACTATATTCCAACACAGAACAGGCTGAAAGCATATGGTTGATATTTTATGGGAAGAAAAATAAAAGATATCAAAATAATTTTTTTTTCATTATTAAATTTCAAAGAAATTTGAAATTTTGCTTGGGAACTTTCCTGGACTTTGCTTCTAGCAGACTTCTTAGCACTCTGATTCTTTTTCTGTTCCCTGTGTGAAGACCTGGAAGGTTTGAATAGACTTTTCTACTTTGAAAGAAGACTGAAGAGTAGTCACATCTAATAAACTGATCCTTGTGGGAAAAGGTTGTTAAAATCATCCCTTGGTCTCTTTCTTGAAGAGGAATATATCTAAATACTTTAAATCTTCAACTAAGTTGGGGGTACTGTCACCTTCAAACTCACATCAACTCCTAAGCAGGAGTTAACAAGGCTTAGAGAGATTGCAAATATTTGTTTGCTGTGGCCACTACTGATGGCAATGATGGCTCCTGTCCTTTAGTGTAATGCATGTGGACAAGGCTTGGAATCCAGAGAAATTAGCTGGGATCAGACTGTAGATTCAAAATCTATTCAAGATGAAGAAGAATGAATACTTATGCTTGATCATTAGCAATGACTACTGATGAATTATTACAGTGTAATTCAATGTGTCTAAAGGATGTACAGTATGAATAAAATAGCCCAGGGATTACTTTCCCTCCATAATGGATGACTAGCTAAATCTCCTGCTGTCAAATATTATGTTTATACTATATTAAAGCTGTTTAACACTAGCACCAGTTGAGAGCATTCATTTGTAGATCAAAAGAAAAATAAGCCTCATCATAATTATAAAAACTATGTACACATGTATAGCTATATGCACATCATATAGAATTCCCAGTATATACTGCACATGTATTGAAAACAGTCTGTGAGCACTAAACAAGGAAAGGGAACCATAAAATCAATCAATCAGCACTGTTCTTGAGCATCCTGAGTAGAGATCATCTATAGCCTAATGCAACTGCCACTGGAGTCAGCAAATATCATTACATTCAGCAGCCAATAAAAAAACGCTCTTGGGGTTAGTGGTTTTTTAATGTATTTTTCTAAGGCCTATTTTGTTGCCCTGTGAAAACAAAAAGCATATGTGAAAACATATATAGTTTGTGGGAGCACCTACAGAGAAAAAAGTAAAATCAAAGATGTTAATTTGTAATGTAAAATTTTAAAATTAATTTGAAAAAAATTGAGAAGAGTGGAAAGATTAAAAAACTTGGAGAACTGCCATTTCTGTTTGCTTCCCTTTATTGCTCTGCTTGGTGATTGAATCATTTTGCTCTCTGAACTAAGACACAATTTCCTTGTTGCTATCCATGAGTTTATACACGTAACTTTGTATGGATATCGCCAGCGAAGTCAATGGATCTCTTTAACATGTTGTGTAATAGTAATCTGAAATAATCACATCAGCAATACTACCAGTGTGATGAATATGTAATAGAATAAATGACTGACTGAATTGCCCAGAATTATAGAATTGTCTGTGGAATGATAAAAAAGCATCTTGTTAAAGCAGGCTACTTTGTTATCTTTCGAGATGCAGGCTAGCAAATCACACATTTATTTCCTTAAAATGCATTTTAAGGAAATAAATGAAACAAGTCTTATTTAGGTACTGGAAGAAGTTGTAGAAGATAACAAGGCTGATTCTTTTTTAAACAGTTGATTGCAAAATTAAATAAGGAGTTAAAAGATAAAAATATACTTACAGCCAGTCTATATGGAAAACAATTATTTCAAAATACCTGATTGCATATTTTGAGGAGATTACAAGTTTGATAGTGATATTTGATAGGATCTATAGACTTAGACCTTTGTAAAGCTTCTGATTTGTCAACATATGATATTTGGATGAAAAAAATTGGCATTGTATGGCAAGGTACCTGACAAACAGATTCAAATCTTGTTGCCTCATTTCAGAAATTACTATAAACCAAGAGCTATCACTGAATTAGCTTTTTAGCAGAATTTCTTAGGAATTGTGCTAGCAATACAGAAATAAGTGTAAAAAGGATGCTATTAAAATTTATCAATGTCATGATATTGCAGAACAATAAACAATGATGATAACTAAAGGCAAAGTTACACACATACAAGAAAAGGAAAGACATGCAGGACAAACATAGAGAACTAGGAAATATACACTACAATACGGTGTGCTTTGCATGTGTTAACAAAAGAACCTTTCGTGTGCAGCAGATTGTCCCCATCTGTGGGCTTCATCTGCTGCTATATGAGTGAAAGCAGTTTTGAGGGTACATGATTTACCAAACTGGGGTACTAATCAATCTGAAAGCCATCATGAAAAGATTATTGTTCAGCTAGATTGATTTCCTGGTTTGATCTCCCATGTTTGCACACCATCTCTTGTGTTAGAAAGAGGGAAGAGAAAACATTGGGCTAAAGGCTAGGCAGGATTGTGTCTTTCAGTGTCAGCTTTGGCTTAAGGCAGCAGAAGCTGAAAATACTTGTCGGATACTAGCCTTGGAAGATTATGGTTATTAAAACAGGGAAATAGTTTGTACATAAGCCCTCCAAGCAGAACTGGCAAAAAAACACAGTGCATGTCTTGGTTTGTAAACAAAGGAATAAGAATACAGATGCGCTATTACTTCTCTGTATGCCGTTGGTTGAAACATATACTGGAACATCACATACTGTCTTGGTGTTTAGTCACTAAAAAAAATATTGCAAAAATGGAAATGATTCAAAAAAAAGCTACATAACTGTTTTAACTTTGGGAATTGGAAAACTTAATGTGTTTGACTTGTCCACAACAATGACAAAAGCTTGAAATGTTGCTCAGTTCGCATATGCAAAGAACTTTCACAAAAAGAAAATACTGGCAGCAGACAAATGTGTGGAGGGGAGGAAAGTAAGCTAGATAATTGCAGATTGGAAAAGATCTACCACATTTTTTAGGAACGAAAAAACAAATTACCTAAATGGTGTATCTAGATATCTTCAAGCCATGGATGGATACCTTTCTGAAAGTTTTGGGAAATGTCATGTCTACTTTAGTTGGCTCAATTACAGGGTGCCTGTAAGAAGTTTTCAAGTCTGAAAGTATACAGCAGTTAGTAAAGGTGATCTCATAGTCCCTTCTGGCCTTACATCTCTGAGCCTTTGAATTATTGCAGACCAGAATAAGAAACTGATACTTGGCTTAGAGGAAAGAGACAAATTATGTGATTGCAGAGCCCATTAATGTGTGTTTCCAGCACTGACTAAAAAACCCAACGGAATTGGTTGATTTTTGTCAGTGAAATAGTAAATTATGTTTGTGGAGTTGCACCTAGGAAGCTGAATAGGATTTCTCTTGATATCTCACACCTTTGTAGTTTCCGGCAAGTTCACAGCTTGGGAATGGAGTTATCCTGAAAAGTTGGATGATTTTTAGACCACTAAAGAAACATTTGGAGAGAAAGATTTGTCTAAGATAATGTAGGTTTAAAGGCAAAAGTACTTTGAGTGTAATCCTCATTGCTCTAGGCAGTGTTTCTTTCTGCAAAGGAGCAAACAAACAAATACCCAACATTTTTGGCATTTCTTTCAACAGCAGTACTGGCTTAAATGATTCCTTTCCTTTTCTGTACTCTTTTCCACCCATGCCATCTGTCCAGTTCAACTGGTAGAATTGTTTATGCATTTGTTGGGTACAAGGTCTGAGACTTCATCTAGACTAAAAATAACCTACTAGCCATAAAATGGGAAAAATGATGGAAGATACTGTAGTAGCTTCCATTAAATGAGCCTGAGGATGCATGTCACATCATTACAACATCAGGAGTGCAATATCTTATTTAAAGTGCTTTTTAAAATGTTTGGGTTTGTCTTAAGACCTT